GAAGACCTCCATCCCTCAACTTGCGGAGCTGATCAACATCCGGTCCAGCAGGCTGCTGCTCAGGCTGGTGGAGGAGGTCTGTGCTTCCCTGCCAGCAGTCCTCAGAGCGTTTGTTGGAGACCGTACAATATCTGACCAATGGGACAATGAATGTGAATATGTCTTCCCACCCCTGGCTGTCTGTCCTGCTGTGGGACAGAGGGAGGATGAGGAGGACATCCTGCTGTCTCTAAAGACACCCCAGTTGGGGGACTTTGAGACTCTGGGGAGGAAAGCAGCATATCAGGTCAGTGTGAAGGTCTCTAACTTGCGCTCTCTGGCAGGAGTGAGGGTGTCGAGGTGGACCGAGTTTTTTGGCAGGGGATCCTCCCCAAGGGGCTGTTGGCAGTCCCTGTACAAACCCCCTGTAGACAAACGGACAGGAGACCTCCAGTGGAGGATTGTACATGGGGCCATAGCTACAAACAGGTATCTGGTGCACCTCGATCCTGGCTCAGGGGACAGCTGTCCTTTTTGCTCGCAGACAAAAACCATCCACCATCTGTTTCGTTGAGTGCTCCAGACTGGTGAGACTCTTCAGCCGCCTGAAGGCATGGTTTCAGGGCTTAGGAGAACACCTTTCTTTCTGTCTTTTTATCTATGATCCAAACTACTCTGCTAAAAACAAATCTGTCCATACACTAATGAATTTCCTTTCAGGACTGGCCAAACTAGCAATTTGGAAAACAAGGAAAAACCGTGTGAAGGGTGTAGGGTCAGAGGACGTGAGCTTGATGCTGACCGGACTGCTGGCTGCTCGGCTCAGGGTGGAGTTTGGTTTCCACAGACTGACAAAGAAAACTGAACTCTTTGTGAACATTTGGGCTCTGAACGACGTTCTGTGTTCAGTCAGAGACAATGCTCTGGTTCTCAACTTATGATTTGTGTTTTTTCTTAAATTTTTCTTTAGTTTTTGTTGGTTTTTGGTTGTTTTTTTTTTGCATGAATTAAGGTTGTTTTGATAAACAGTAAAACTCTGTAAACGAAATTGATTTAGAAATAAAGATATTTGAAAAAATCTCTCTCTCGCTTGCTCGCTCGCTCTCAGCTGGAGAGGAGGAGCACATTTTGAATGATGTGTTCACAAGCAATGTGACTTAACTTATACCTTAAAAGTAACATTTAGGGGGATCTATTGGCTGAAATGTAATATTAGTAACTATGTTTTCCATAGTGTGTCACCTAAAACTAAGAATCGTGTTCTCATTAACTTAGAGTGAGCCCTTCAGTTATCAGGACTCAACATAAGAATGTTTATTGATAACAGGTGCAAATGCCTGTGATCCAATGCCATTATGCAGATAACATATGCAGATCACAGGTCAATATGAGGACGCTTGAAATTCCAAACCATCTTACTGAAGAATTCAAGTATATGTCATCATCTGCTCTTATGAATTCAATGAGAATAGTGTCTTTTTAAAATAAATTCTGTGTTCACAGGAAACAAAGAGTTTCCGCTCATTACATGCACACAATCTCTTTTTAAAATAACCTTCCAACATAGGCTTATTTAGTTTTTATGTTTACTTCCACACCAAAAGTACTTGGTTAGGTTTCGGAAAAGGTCGTGGCTTGGGTTAAAATACGTATAACATGACTGTGCATGTTACCGAATTAGGGTTGGTAAAGTATGGACGTTACTTACCAAAAGTAAGGTTGAATAAATCCATATTGACTTAGGTTCACACAGGTCAAACAACCATCTCCTGGGTGACAGATTTGTGTTTGTTTCACCCATCCAACCTCCCCTCATCACCTCCTAAGTGGACTTTCTCACTGTTTATAATAAGTCAGTTGCAATGACTGTCTAATAATGAGGAGAATGGATTAACAGTGAAGTTACTTTAAAGCCCAGTGTGTCTCATACAGATGCAAAAACCTCTGTGCGTCTGTATCAGACGCGGAGGGGGGCTGACCAAGCGTGGCTATTTGACGAGTTGGGATAGGGATCCTTTTTAACATTTAAGTTATAATGCTTTCTGTCACTCAAACCAATTTCAAATAGGTCTACATGTTTGACCTAAAGCAAGGTATCCCAGACATCCTTCTTCCCATCAGACGTACCCTATAAGCCTGTCTATGGGGATACAGAGGTGTTCCCATATTAGATGGTTATATGTATCCCTTGTGTTATGGGTCTGCTGCAAGGTCTCCTCCTAGCCCAGGGGTCGGCAACCTGCGGCTCCGGAGCCGCATGCGGCTCTTCAACCCCTCTGTTGCGGCTCCCTGGGGCTACATCCACATTAATACGTTTTAGTTTTAAAACAGAGTTTTAACAAACAAAAGCGATCTCAGTCCACACGGCGCATCAGGATCGTTTTAGAAATGATCTCCGTCTAGACTAAAACGCCTGAAAACAAACATCACGTGACTATTCACGTAAACTGGGTATGATGGTGCCGGTCTAAACAGGAAGTAGATTGGTGGCTAAGTTTAAAAAATACGACAGAGTAATAAAGTAGTCTTTAATAATGAAAGGTCGTGCTTGATACTTAAGATCTTCTCTAAAATCTTCCTCTATGAACTCAAATAGACACATTTCATGGAGAGTTTTAGAAGTTTTATTTTTCAGACTTAGTTACAGTGCTGTGGGTCTTGCTCTATCTCTCTCTCTCACATATCAAATTTACTTTAAAATCAACACTTACACAAAAAGGTTTGCTAGATTATGGGTCCATAAATGTGGTCAACACACGTCTCTCACTCGTTTCCTTGGTTCCGTTGTTGTCTGTTCTCACTCGTAGCTCTGCTGGTGACTAAAGTCTCTGTCCTACTGGAGAGCAATTACTGCTTTTGTCCCTTTACATGTTATCTGCAGACTTCACATTAGTTGTGCAGAACAAAACAAGCATTAATAAGAAAAGAAAGTCCTCCGCTTTGTGTCCGTCCTCCTCAAAGCCACTAACAGTGACTTCTGACGTCTGCTCCATAGGTTTGATAACGCTGCTGGACACGCTGCTCACTAATCACTCCAACAACAGCTGCTTCATCCTCCCAAATGCAGACTTTAACTGAACAACAGCTGCTAGTAAAGACAAGGTCAGCAACGCCTGTAATCAGTTGTCCATGAATTAACCTGGTAGTCGATCGGTAATCAAGACTGTTATTGTTTGTGAATTTCCGGGTCACAAGATAGGGGTGTGACCAATCAGGGAAGGACACATCATGACTGCTAAGAACGTAGTGTGGATGCTCAGTATAAACGTAGCAGAACATGCGTTTTCAAATGGAAACGTAGTAGTGTTGACATGGCCTCAGGCTTTGACAACAAATAACATGGAAATAAATAACGGTTATTTTTACATAATATTTTGCCCAGTGGACAATCTTTCAAAGGGAACACCTCTTATCTTGGAGTTTGAGGTGATACTGAATCACTGAAAATAAAAAAATATTTTATCAACTAAAATGTGCGTCACATCCTATTACGTCGCTGTCAAGCACCTATTCCTGCAGGTGGCTAATCATAATCTGCAGACCCCCGCCCTCGGTAAACTATCAATGGATAAATCCAAAAAAAGAAAAGTCACGGAGGAAAATAGAGAGTTTAACTCTGCGTGGACGTCTTCATTTGCTTTCACTGCCAACGATGCTGACTTACCTGTATGCTTGATATGTGGCGAGAAATTTGCAAACAGCAAAAAATGTAATGTTGAAAGACACTTCTAGAACAAGCACACAGCATATGCTGCAAAGTGTCGCGCTGGAGATGAGCGAAAAAGAGTGATTTCTCAACTGCTGCATCAAACTCTCCTCTTGATATTGTTACAACAGGTAAAATAGCAATAAAATGTCAAGAATTGTCGTTATTCTTGTTCTATAATTTCATAAATACAACAAACTATAGTTTTTGTATATATAATATAACTATATATACAATTTTATAAGCTGTGATATCAAATGGCTTTTGCAGCTCCAGACAAATTTTATTTGGTGGAAAATAGGGCAAAATGGCTCTTTGGATAGTAAAGGTTGCCGACCCCTGACCTAGAGTGAACAAAATCCTGAGACACTTGAGTTCCTTCACTTGGCACAGGCACTTGCTCCCAACTACTAAAATGACAGTAGCCAAGAGAGGTCAGTGTACTGCAAGAGTTCCTTCACTTGGCACAGGCACTTGCTCCCAACTACTAAAATGACAGTGGCCAAGAGAGGTCAGTGTACTGCAAGTTCAGAAAACACATGCAAATAGACAAAACACAAGAGCATGAAGAAAACTTTCACAACTTTGACTTCACACACATAGCACACAGAAAACACAAGCAAATGCAGGAATGAATTAGGAAATTTAAGTTTTCAAAAATTGCATTTTCACCTTGTGATTTTACAATTGAAATGCAAAATGATATTGAATTACTAATACTAATACTACAGATTATGTGCAAAATGTTTTATTCATAAACCAAAATTCCTTACTGCTGCACTGAAATTTGAAATTGTTTAAATTAACCTAAATTTTTGATACAATTCATACAAATGATTGAACACAAAACAAAATACAAATTCTTTGCCTGCAAACTGCACTATTATTATTTTTTTTATTATTTATTTCCACTTGTTCAATATATGACCAAATACCTGGAATACTATTAATATTTCCTTCAGCCTCAGCTGTACTTTGTTTTTAGTGTTAATATTACTGCTTTAAGGACGCACTGTGTTGGTTTTATTTCCATTGGAATAAACCCCTATTTGGAGTTTTGTTTGTATTGTTGATTGTTAATAAATACAAACAATTATAGCAGCACAGCTAGATGCCTGATAATATTAAATTTTTGAAAACCGATATAAATTGTATCGTTGTGTTATGTTTTTGTCTAATTTATTCAGGTTAAAATGATTTACAGTCTTTTCCCAGAGGAAGTGAATGCAGCATCTCCGGCTGCATCTCTCACTGACGTCACGAGAGAGTGAAGGGGTGAGGTGGTGAAAGAGGGAGGGGCTATACCGTGAAACGCCGTTGGTGCGCGTGTCGGAGTACACAGTGCCGTGCTTCTCGAGACATCTCTACAAGCAGCAGTAAGCTGACAGGATTTGATGTGAACAGCTGTGTGTTGAGCTCCGTTCAACGCTCTCTGGACTAATTGTGGACAGACAGCACTTTATTAATCACTGCTGCGGACACTGGCGCTTCACGTTGTGCCCTAGCAGCAGCAGTCGGTTTGAACCTGCTTATACAGCTGCCGTCTATGTGTGAGTACGACTCTGACACACTGTGATTCATGTATGACATGTTGAACTTTGATTTCAGAGCTTGAGTTTTCATTGACTGACATGACAGAGGTGTTGTAGCCCCACGAGCTTCAAAAACACAACAACTGCTCACTGCATTATTATTTCGCAGTTGAGTCAGACAGTTAGTTTGAATAGAATATTGCTACACTGTAACTTGCTAATCATCTTCCATCTTTTCATACTTCCATCATGCTCTTGAGCGGATTTTCATTCATGTTCACATCACACATTGGCTACCAGAGTAGCCCGTGCCTTTGAGCAATTGGTGGTATAGGCATTATTCTGCACTTGCACGTGCGCTTTCATGAACCGCGCACGCGAACTCCGATGCGCTGTCACGCACGCGGCAGTTAATGTCGGTGCGTGTGACTTCAAAGCTCCACAGTACAGTAGGTGTTGCTCTCCTCACGGTGATGCAGTGTGCTCCGTCTCTCCAGCCTGTCGTCAGCACACAGCCTGGAGGTCTGCAGCTGATGGCTCTGATGCCTGCCAAGGTATCATTTAGTCGGTGTGCAGTACAACCAGTCAGCTACAGTGTGACATCCAGGGAAACCTAGTGCTTCACTGTTAGAAATCAAGATCGATGTTTCCTTTAGAAGGCAGTTTACTATTCACTGATTATTTCATGAATCAACAGATATTCCTCTTCTACTGACAGTGTGGTTTACCCATTAATCCTCCCCAGTCTGAACATTATATGTTTAGGGTTATGCTTTTTTGATTGTAAAATTTCTCAGATCGATGATGGTATTCATTCTGCTTATTCAGCATGCCATTTTAGTTAGAAAAGAAACCAACATTTGTTCAAAATAAGATGGATATTAAGAAAACTTTATTGTCCATTAAATAACATGAAATGGAAATTTGCCCTCTGCATTCTGGCAACACAGGAAAAAACAGACAGTGAAAGGCAGCAAAAAAATGAAATACACTTTACACAGTGGCAGTGCTCATGGACTTTGGTGGGGGGGGGTTACCTCATTTGGAACTCTTCTTCGTAGTAATGCCTTATGTTGTGTTTCCAGCAGCATTCACTGAATAAAGCAATAGCCCCTCAGGCTTACGTCACTGAGCCTGCTCAGCAGTACAATACTATCAGACAGTGTACAACCTTGCTTATTGAACTTACCTTGCTTACCAACACCAAGCTAGCTGACATGAGATTCGTCGAGAGTTGCTAGCTAGCCATGGAAGAGTTTAAGCAGTGTTTGGACTACGGTTCCCACATGACGAGAAGGGACACCCACTCCCGCTGTGTCTGGACCAGGGACGCTCTGAGGTGGTGCTGTCGGACCGCTCTTCTGCAGAGATTAAACAAAACTCCCGCTCAGAGTAAGCCGACAACGGGCAGACTTATTTGACACGGTTCCCAGGCCTTCTGGTGCTGCTGTGAAGGCAACAAGTGGTCGGGACATTACAGGAGAGGAGTAGTACCTCCGATTCCATGCCCAATCTCACAGGACACCGTCAGGGCCGGAACAACAAATATGAGCCTTGAGCCTCAAATGAGGCCAGGACTTTTTCTGGCATTTCCCCAAACACTGGGCCTTTCTCAATACCCAAGTTCACAAGTCCAGAGAACGCAGTACGGACAATTGGAACAGCAGATTACTTGATGACATCACCACCTCAGCTAGTCTTGCTAATGAGTTTAATCCGTTTTTTTACTGTAAAGTATTTTTACAATCAAACTAAATACAACAACCCTGCTGTTTTCATTTAAAATAAAAAATGATATATTATTTTATTTATCTATCTATCTCTATCTATCTCTATCTATCTCTATCTATCTCTATCTATCTCTATCTATCTCTATCTATCTCTATCTATCT